GTAGAGTTGTTTAGCTGCAACAAGAATTTAGTTACTGGCAGCAGGAGGCCAGGGAATAAATCCAACATGTACTGTATCTGGACTGATGTGCTCAGTTCTTGCCGCTCATCCCAAAGATGACACAGTGGAACTAGAAAAGGTAGCTAGAAGGGCAACAAATGAATGAAATGGCTTTTGCACAGGAAAAAAAAAAAAAAGAAAAACCCTAAATAGACTAAGATTCTTCAGCTGGGAAAAGCGACAGTTGAAGGAAGTTACAATGAAATCATAAACTGCTATTCACCAACACCTTAGTATAAGTTACTAATTTTCCTATTCACCACTACCAAGGTAAAGATTAGTCACTCACTTTCATAATACAGAACATAAGGAGCATTAAATGAAACTATCAAGATGTAATTTCAAGACACAGCATAACTGGAATTCTTGTCTTAGCTAAAATCAATCTTTCTTTTATATTCCCTAAACTCTTCTTCAGTTCAGAAAATCCTTTAAGAAAGCTGAACTAGAACTTGAATGTTTTCAATAGATTGTATGTTCTCCTCCAGTAAATGGTTTTTAGGGGGAAAAAAAAATACACATGCAGTATTATGGTTTAAGGAAACTGTTAGGTTTCTCTGTTCACTTCCAACCATGCACCATCCCCTGCCCCCTTCTCCCAAAAAGGAAGAACCATGAGTTACTGAATAAAGCTGGGTATTTGGGGTAATTAGGGATACATAATTAAGGACATATAAGCCAAAGCTTGACCTAAGAGTGGGGGAGTCACACTGCCCTCCTATGTGAATAAATGTAAAAACATGCAACAGGAGGGATTAATGAAACATGAGAGGGAACATAGCTGCAGATAACTAGGATGAACCGCAGACAAGTATCTTTTCCAGATTACATCATTTTGGCATTTTCCACAAAAAGAAAAAATAAATTGCATTGTCAAGAGGTAAGACGATGTTAGGACACTTACTGATCTAACTGATGTGTCCAGCAGCCCCTGCCAGCAACTCTCCTTAAGCACATGCAGCCTAGAGACAGATGTCCATCAGGATGAACGGAAGAATGTTTGGCTATACTTCTCAGATGTTAAAATTGAAGAATCAAATATATTTGCATGAAGTTAAAAACAAACAACTGATACTCTACTTTCGTTCAGACATGATGAGATACGAGCAGCTCATCATGATGAAGTTATGTGCCATTTCAGTTCATCTGCAATACCAGCACATTCAGAAAAACACCTTATTATATAAATACTAAAAAAAAAAAGCCATTCAGATGCAAGAAGAGCTCTACTCATAGTACATTTGCTTTATTTATTGTAACGTTCACTCGTAAATTAAGTCACGTCCTAAGGGAATACCATTATTCTGGGTTAACACAGAGAGGTGAACATACACTTTTATTTTTCACACACTTTTGATTGGCTGCCTTCAGAATAAGTGACTTACTAGCAAAGAACATACTAATTTTCTTGCTTTTTTTTTTCTTTAATGGAAAGGAGGAGATGGAAAGAATAAAAAAGTGGAATAAGTTTTTTATTTAAAAATCAAGCAAGTTGTTAAATACTGAATACCAAAATTTAAGATATACATACTTCTGTGCATGTTGCTTTTAGAAGGTATTTGCTAATTTACTTAAATCTCTATATACTTTCCTTTCAGGTTTCTAATTTTTCATGTCTCTCAGGAAGACTTTAAATGGGCCTCAGAACAATTGAACACTGGAAATCTAAATCCAAGGCACTGTGCTCATTGCACTCAGAGAGCTCTTACTTAATGAAGGGAAATATCTAAAAATAAAATGTCCTGAAAAATGAATGAAGACAAATCAGTCTAATTTGAGACCCTTTAACTCTGCATAGTATATCTTTTGCCTGGAATTCAAACAGGCTTCAGACAACAACAATCTGGAGATTATTTTATGCAGTGTTGTCCTCTACTCCAAGGCAATGCAAACACGGAATGCTCTACCACTGAAAACTCTCATCTCTGCAGATATCTCGTAATTAGGCAAACCCACCCCGTCACATTAATCTTAAAGCATCAGCTATTTACCTGTTTCTTTCAAAGCAATACAAAATTGCTTTTTCTTCTTCCATAAAGAAATTAAAACAATACCTGCAAGTGCATTAACAACCACTGTTTTTATGAGGGTGGGCAAAAGCAGTGTGCCAGTTCCCTCACAGATTTGATTCCAAGAAACAATCAGCTGGCACTACTCCCTTAGTAGTAACAGTATTTTTGATGGAGCTTATGCATGTAAAGCAATAAGGAAGAGGCCTTAAAAAATTTAGCTTTGCTTGAAACAAATGTCAGGGTGTAACGGTTGAAATGAGGAAAAAAAAATTTACTTAGAAATATTGAAAGGCAATATTGTACTAGGGATGATTTTAAAAAGAAAACACAGGAAGGCATCATATACAAATTCACTTTTTTGAATGTTCACCCTTTGTGATTATGCATTTCCTATACCTAAAAATATACACTGAAATACAGTATGTATAACCCTGGGTAAATATCTTGGGATTTTAATTCACATGCAAAAGCTATACACATCAAGCTCCAGAAGTGTTACTGAAAATACGTTCTTGCATATATATTGCATAAGCTATTTGTGGAAATCTATGTAGTTTCCCATTTAACCAATAGTAACTACAAATCAGAGCCAGTTTCAGCTGTGCAAGGGAAGGCTGACAAGTCAGCAGCATCTTCTGCCATCTCAAACTTATGAATCACACTGGATTTACTGGATTTAACCCCGCCCCTGCCACACTGGAACTTACAGAACAATTTCAGAGAAGAGTAAACTTTTATCATAACTCTTTCCTTGTTAGATTTTGTGACAGAGAGTATGTCAGTGCTCTAACTGCCTATTTCCTAACAAATCTAAATGGAAAAGTAAAAATAGCAAAGCTGAATAGTAATGATGAGGTGCCTACGGAAGATGAAGGGAGCATCCACCCCAGTTTACTCCTCTATATTTTTCATTGTGGGCATTTTTAAAACCTGGGGGTCTACAGATTGAGGATACAAGGACTAAGGAACAATTTACAGAGATCATAATGTGGGCTGCAATCATGTGGTGAGACTTTTGAAACACTATTAGAAAACTGCTATTTTATAAAACTTGATGGAACACAAGTTGATGACAAGAAGAGATGAAGACACTGTAAGCATCAAGTACACTTAATTTTCTCTCCCAGGTGTCTTCTACACTTTTGCTGAAATGGCAGTAATTTCCTAGACTTCATCTTACAGCTGGTGAGTTTCAAGCTACTCCTTCCACAGAACAGCAATTCTATAAACACAATTTCTGTACTGCTTCCACTTCCCCTTTATGCAGCAGAGGGGAAGAAAAGTGTTCCTCCTGAAACTTTATCTATATACCTTTGGCAAGAGGAAAAAAAGAAAATTAGTCATCTCAATTGCTATTTCCTTTTACCCTGAATTCACATCTGCTAAGCCTAAAGATTCTTTTTACAATTGTGTATTATGTCTTTTCTTGCCTAACTTGTTCTGAATTAGTAAACACTTTGCAAACTAGCTTTTAAGAAAAAAATATTCATTTCCATTTTAAATGCCATAATTGAGTAATACTATCTTCTGGGAAACTTCTCCATGAAAGGAAGAACAGGGTGCCTTGGCCCCAATGTACAGGAATTATCCCTAAAGATGATTCAGATTACAAGGCAATCAAATGGAAAACATTCAGATTGTAACTATGAAGTCCCTCTGCCTCTCATATGGAAGAAGAAATTTTAAATACTGCATTTTGATGTTTCTTTAACATGTACTTTCCTTCACATTTGGGAAACATACAATGAGTATCACTGATACCCAAACTATGCCTGAAAGCAAATACCGCAATAGCTTGATGAAAAGAAACACAGCATTTATACACTTGGAGGCTAATATTTTGACCATTGTGGTCTGTAGTGGGAAAAACGTGATGTACGATAATATGAAGTACATATGCACTGAAGTATTCAAACAAATAGAACAGATAACTTCAAACAGTACAATCTTTGGTTAGATGGATTGACTGAATTTATGGAGCATCTTACTCCTTATTCACATCATGTTGATTGCAAGATAACAAATGTGATGTCTGAATTGCTGAAACCT